CACTTAGCCAACTGCAGAGCAACCGGGGCTGGACTTCAAGGATCAGAGCTGCAGCTCAGCCATCTACCCCTGCAGGTGCGTGCCTGGGGGAGACCAGGCTTGATTCACAGCGGGCAGACTAACGTACCAAGCAGGTGTATTTCTAAGAGGCAAGCTTTGGAAGGGACACTTCTACTTCTGCAAGTCCCCCACCCACACATAAGGGTCTTGTAAGGAGAAGGGAGGGGGGAATCCCAAGAATATTCTCTTCTCCCGTGTTTGGCACAAAAATTTGCCCCTGAGGCATCCTACTCCCGATTTCTCCCCTTTCTCTGGCAATGACGTAACCCTTTCTCCCTAACTCATCAAGGTCAGCCCCGGAAAGGGAGAGGGACGTCAGAAACAGAGGACAATCAGCATTTTGCTCTGGGGATTTTTTTTTCTTTCAGGCAAAATGTTTGCCAATTTCCTTTATAATTGCCTAAAGAGGGACACACCTTTAGCCAAAGGAGACGGAAAATGGCGTCTGGTAGTGAAGACAGCTGAGCCCTGAGCACTGGAGCACTAGGGCTCGGCTGCTTTCCCAGCCCAGGGCGATCTCAGCTCCTCGGGGGCTGTAGCCTCCACCAAGGCCCAGCTGCCCAAGGGTGGCCAGTGCTGGGAGGGCAGGGCCATCCTCCCAGCTCTGCCTGGGGCTCGGGAGGTGGCAGGGGAAACCCTCAATTTCGCCCACCTCTCCCCCTTCAGTCTGCACCCGCCCACCAGTCATCCACGAGCACCCCCGCCCACAGGCTGGCTTGGGGACGCGGGGACCTCATGCGACGCTTCCGCCGGAGACCCGAGCGGTTTCTCCCCCTCCACCCCCTTCTCAGCTACCCTGAACACTCCAATGCCCTCTGTCTGAACACCCCCGCTTTTTGCCCTCCCCTCCCCAAGGGGAAGTCAGCTTCCCTTCCCTGGCACCCCCGCACCTCTCCAGAGCCCCGCGCACGACCACAGCCAACAATCACACTCCCGCGGCACAAACAGGCAGGCAGCCTCCTGCGTGACCCGCACACATGGTATTTACCCTCCCATGTGGTCCAACTGGAGGCACCCCGGTGTTTGAGAGAACACAAACACCCCTCCAGCCCCCTCCCAAAAGGCAACACAAAGGCCACCAAGAATTTCAAGACCAGACAACATCGGACATCAGAGCGAGAGCGGGGTAGGACAAAGACATCATTCCATCCTCGCAAGGAACGACGACAACTCGGGGACATTCTGCAGTGCCCTCTGGCTTGACACAGCCCACTGAGCAGAGCTGTGTGTGGTGGCGTGTGTGAGAGAGCACGCATATGTGTGGGTGTGGGGGTAGTGTCTGTCTCTACTGTCCAGGCAGCAAATCTCCCCAGAGGTAACCCTGTCCAGACTCCGCTTTCCCCGTAACCTTCCTCCAATGTGCCGCAAACGCGTATTACACGGATGGTTAAATTGGATCATTATCACTGGGTGCTTATTTGGCAAAAAAAAAAACACCATTAATGTCATCTACCCCCACTCCAATCCCCTTCTCAAGAAGTCCCCTCCCCCAAAGACTCTCCAACATGCTAATCCCATGAACTGCGACACACCACAGCTTTCGAGAGAGAATAATGGCGAGGAGAAAGAAGAGAGCGGTGTAGGGAGAAGACGTGGATAGCGTTACTGCATTGCCCGTATGAAGATGGGTGGAAAGGAGCCATGGTGGAGGTAGGGGCGGGGAGAGCTACGGAGGGGAATGAAACCAAAGGAAATCAAGTCCTTGGTCGCCTGTGTCCATGCGAGAGTGTGTGTGTGCAAGAGCTTGTGCAAGTGCGTGTGTAGATGTGCCGACTTAGCCCTCCTATCAGAAGGCTGCATCCGTGTGGCATGTAGGAAAGGCCATCGCACCACTGTTGTGTTGCAAAAAAAAAAAAAAAGGAAGAAAGAAAGAAAAGAAAAGAAAAAGAGCCGCAGAGCCATCAGAATCAGAATTTTCTCATGGAGATGGAAAGGGCTAGAGGAAAGGGGGAGGGGGCCATGGGGTAGGGGAGAGCGGTGCGTGGCAATGGAAGGCAAGAGCATGGTAGAATTGGGGGAGGATGGGGGGAAATTGGTGGTGGGGTGGAAGACACTGCACGAGCACCTGAGACACAAACGCACACAATACCCAAACGCCAAGCCCACTGCTTCACTGTTCATCTAAGACTGACAACCTGTCCCCCATCTCCCGCTGCCTCTCTGTGCCCCCAAAGCTGGTGCGGGTGGATTTCTCTATCTCAGTTTTGCAGCAGTGAGGGCTAATTACAACCAAGCCCCCTTACCGAATTAACCCCTCCCCTCCCTCTCTTTTTCTCTCTAAAAGGCCAATTGAAGAATAATGTGTTTTTAGAGATAATGGATTTTTTTTTCCCAAGGAGCGAGAGAAAGGGGGATGCAGGACAGAAATTCTGCAAACCGTTGACTTCCGACCTCACCTCCGTCTCCCCTCATGTCCCCGTTCGCTATAGCATCTCGTCTACCATTTCCCAACCGTCCCCTTGTCCCCCACCACCCAAAAGAAAAGACCTTCCTACCATGCACATCGACAAACACATCAACCGCCACCCAATCTCAGTAGCCGATCTCAAAACCCCAAGCATCAATCCACCTCAATACATTCTTTCCCTTATATAAGCAGCAAATCATCAACATATTCAGTAGAAACGCAGCATTAAAAAGAAATTAACCAAAAAAAGAGGCCAGACCCCCGTCAAACCCCCAATAATTATTAGCAGGGAGCTACCAGAGAAGCAAAGAGGTAGTTGTCTCTCAAAATCTAGAATCCCTTTGATTTCTGGCCCCGTCGTCTTAAGAAGCAATTTTTTAAACCATTATTTCACTAGAAAGGTCCGGAAAGCTCCAGAAAAGGGCATTCGCACAGTCCGGTTGTTTTAAAAAAAAAAAAAAACATTAACCCAGCCCTGTTGCTCACTTTAATAGCGAACTTCCAGTGTCCAGCCTTTTCCCCCTCTTCCAGAAGGAAGACTGGCTCGCAGGTTGAACCCCAGGCTGCAGAAAATGGGCCAAGAGCCCTTGCTCTCCACTCCCCAACCAAAAAAAAAAAAAAAAAAAAATTCAAACAATAGGAATATCTCTGCACAACCAGCACCCGTCTGAAATATCATTTGCCCCAATATCACACAGGCAGATTAAGCTAGAAGATTAAAAAAAAATACCAGCCTTGTTATGTCTCTCTCCCCTCCATCCCTCCGCCACGTACCCAGTAGCCCTTAGGTAAACTTGCCCATAACCAGCGGGACCATTTTAACTCGAAAGGCGATGCAGAAGCCCTTGAATGATGAAGGAGGCTCTACTCCACAACAGCAAATTCATAAAGGGCTAGTTCTTCGGGTTCACCAGACCTAACCTCCAGGTGCCCCCAGATAGACTATCCCAGGCACAGAGTCACCCAGTGCGCTGGGAGTTCAAATTTCCATTGGAACCTTCATCACAAAGGCAAACGGTCATCTGACCCCTGAAACTACACTGTCCTCCAGGTGTGACAAGGAGTGCCCCTCTTGCTCCCAGGGCCAACCACAGGACCCAGGGCAGAGAAAGAATTAAGAATGTTGAGGTGGATCGGTCTGGTAAAAGGAAACTCTCTCCCCAAGCGGGAGTGACCGGAGGAAGCGGGAGTGACCGGAGGAAGCGGGGAGAGGTCAGCTCCTACTCTCCCACTTCTCCTAGGTGGTCTGACTGTGTCTCGCTCCATCCTAGCCTAGCTCTCAATGATCTCTGACCTTTGCATTTAAAAAAAAAAAATTAAAAATAATGATCAGGGGAAAAGAATCCTACCTTACCTAAAGCCCAATAAGAGTTAGCAAAAATATAATTTTCTCACTACATGATGCTATTTCTACATCTAGATCAAAAGAGAAGGCATTTAATGGAGGGAGGAAGAAATTTATTTTTTTTAACAAGTAATCACAGGGGAAGTCACCTGCAAAGCAGCCAAGCCCATAGGTTGGTATTACATCACTGGCCTAGGAAGGGATGGGGGTGGGGGGAGGATAGATTATTTTTCCCTTGTCATCAGGATGATGTTTCTAAAGCAGTTAAGTTTCATGGTTAAAAAAGAGAGAGGGAAAGAGCCAAAACTCTGGGTACAACACAATGCCTTGAAAAAAAAAATACATCGAACCAGCCTTTAAGGTCACTGAGAGCTTGCAAAACCCACAGTGCTTACACAGAGTGGAAGTTTTCAGGCAAGCCTGCTACTAAATCATTAATACAAACAAATGGAAGGCAGAGGAGGAAGATTCCCTTGTAAGAGATCCAAACAGGAGCGCACACACGCGCACGCACACACGCGCGCACACACACACTCCCTTTTCACCTTCTCTGATTATGCCCACCTTCACAAGAAGATAGCAGGAGTCCAAACTGAATCTTCAGACTCAAGAACCACCGCTTCACACCCCTTCCTAAAAAAAAAAAAAATCTTACTTACACACACACATACACACACACACACCTCAATTCCTCAACAGCTAGGGAAATCCCTGTCTCAATTCAATTTTGTCTTATGATCCTCAGAGTGTCTCTTCTCTTTCTCATTTGAACCAGTCCTTTCCCCCAGAAAAAAAAGATAATTAGAGGGAAAGTAGCTACAAAATGCCAAAAAACTATCTGCCCAAAATGAAGTGATGGGCATACATCCTTTCAGACTAATAATCCAAGCTAATAGGAGAAAGACTTAAAAAAAAAAAGATTAAAAAACCTAAAACATTCTCTGACTTTTCCAACATCTGGAGTGAGAGGACTCAACTTCCAGGAGCAACTGAAGGAAAAGAAAGGCAGTTGAAAAGCCATTCCCATGGTCAGCCGAGGCTCTCGGATCCAGCATCCAAAAAAAAAATCTAGGTTGGTGGCTCCCAACTGAAAACTTCTACCCTCTCAGGAGCAACCTCTTCCCAGAACGAACAAGAACCTTGAGTTGTTTCACACCCTGCCTGCCTTCCTTTCCCCCCAAACCTTACCTTTCCAGTTGAACAGAAGATTTGGGATCTGTTTGTTTGTTTGATGCTTAATCAACTGACTTTGCTGGGTATGTTTCCTCTTTGGGAAGGTTCAAATTCCAGAATCTTTCTCTCTCTTCCTTTTCTCTCTCTCTCTCTGGGAGGGAGTGGCGGGGAAGAAGGGAGGGGGGTGGCGGAGGTGTGAAAAGCAGGTCCGCGGTGGCTCGAGAAGCTGGCAGCTGCGAGAGAGGGGAGGACACGCTCGCCTCTCCCTCTCAAGGAGTTGCATGGAAGAGGAGATGTGTAGGGCTGAGCTCGGAGCCTGAGACTGCCGGGGAGCCCAGGAATTTCACGCACTCCAGAGCCGGCCCCTCCCTCTCCCACACAGACCCCGGCATTTAAAGAGACAGCCAGGCTGCCTGGCTCAGGGCTTCACCTCTTCCCTGACTGTTCGCAAACAGCCGAGAAGATATCGTCAGGGAGGGGCACTGTGCAGCCCCCTATGACTAAGAGGCAGGGTCAGGAGCTCAGTTCTCCCCCCACCCCAGCCTGAGGAAGGTTCTTTACCAGAACCGGGGCGGGCATTGAAATAAAGACAAAATCCTCATTTACAGCTTCCGTAGACTAAGCCACATGCTGAAGATACATGTGTCTCATTGCAGCCAGGAAGTGGAGAGGAGCCTGACCTAGAAGTGTGCCTCAGTTTCCCCAAGTAGCCACTCCTTGCGAAATCAGGGCAATCCTTGAGCTTTTGGTGGAGGCTAGGGCTGTAACTAAGGCACAAAGTCATTCCTTCAACAAGCATTTTGAATGCCTGCTTAGGATGAGGCACAGTGCATAGGACAGGTCTGGGGACATAGAAATGAAGGTGACAAATTGGGTTTCCCATCGAAGGGCTGCTAGCTACAAAGACAGATGGAGGCATAGCCAACCCTATCCACAGGGGCTTCTAGCTAAGAGAGATAGAGGCAGGGTTCTAGTGCTGTGGTGGGTCGGGGGACAGCTCCCTTCCATGGCTCACAACCTGAGCTCAGGGCCTAGATATTTCGACTGCTCTCCCCCAAACCCTTCGAAATTCATAGCCAGTTTTGCTGACTAGTTCGTGTCTGTGGAAACATTTCCCCATTCAAGCCTAAACAAGAGATGACAGTCGGTGGCACCAAACACAAGGTTTTGTTCAGCATCAGGCCCTGGTGCTTCACCAGGGAAAAGAGCCCCTTTCTTCTCCAACCTCCCCTTTCTCAGGGCTCCATGGCACATCCTTCCTCTGGCCAGTGCCAGTGCCAATGGCAGGAATAGCCACTAACAACTGTTGAGCACTTACCAAGTGCAGTCACATGGGTCAGCTCATTCTGTCCACTGAGACTGGTGCTATTTGACAGTTGTCCATCTTACAGTTGAGGAAATCAGAGCTTTAGGGAGGCTCTCCAAGGTCACACAGCCAGAAATAACCAGAATGAATTTGAACTTGGGTCCAGCTGTCTCCAGAGCCTGCCTGCTTAGCCACGGTGCTATATATCGCCTCCCTTCTATGGAGGGTAGTTCTTAAATTTCTGCTCTTTCCTGGACATTCTTCTAGGCATCCCGGCACTTACCCAACCCAGCAAACTTGGATAGCACATGTACCAGGCATTGTGCTAACCGGAAACAAAAAGAGTAAGACAAGGTCCCCACCCCAAGGAGTCCACGCTTCTTTGGTGGAAGACAAACATGTGTTTCTATAAAGCAAGGGATCAACAGCAGTCATGAAGCAACATAAAGGAAGCTGTTCAGGACTGTCAAGAAGCAAGTGATAAATTCTGATTTGGAAATGAGGGATATTAAGGCATGTGTGGTGGGCTAAAGTGGCATTTGGGCTGGGCTTGAACAGACACATGCAATACCAGCATTCCTAGTCAACTTTTCAGACTGTTTTACCTTTTAGATCATAGTCTTATTTTTTTATGTTTCTTTGCGTCCCCAATCTTCAACACCACCATGGTATTTGGCACCCAATAGGAATACAAACATGCCTTAATGGATTAATTTCATGCATGACACATCACCTTCTGCCCATTAATGCCAGACCTGAACAGCCCTAGCCAGCTGATCTATATCCTCCTTACCTCACCTTTCTTGAAGTCCATGTTCCTTATTTGTTCTCGGAACACAGAAGGGAAATTCAAAGAACACAGTGCATGGGGTTGGGCAAGCTGTCCGGAGCTCCAGGGAGAAGAACCATATAAAGAAACTGCCATGATCCAGCAGGATGTTGGGAACAACTGTACACTCACTTTTGGGAGCAGCGGGAAGAGACTTAAGGGACCCCACAGGGATGTGAGGGCATAAGCCCAAAGGGAAAGCCTGATGGCTCACTGCCTTGAGATGTCAGCTCCTATCAGACTCCTTCAGCCAACACCAGCCTCAGAAAGACATCCTCTAGAGAAGTCCACTGCATGTCTACAGGACAACCTAGAAGTTAGGACACATACCTGGGTTCCAACCCCAACTTAGACACCTACGTTCCATGTGACTTGAATAGTTTTCTTTGCCCTCTCCCAAGTCTTAGCATCTTCACCTACAAAACAGTGAGAACACCTGTACTTACTTCATAGAATTGCTGTGAGAATTAGTGATAAAATAACACACAGAACACCTGCCCCACAGAAGGGCTAAACAAGTATCTGCTATTTCGACCCAAAGGTCTGCCTTTGCCCCTGCATGGGATTATTAACTTTGGACTGCCCCCTATAGTTAGCATTCTCTTATTTCATCATTTCACTTTTAATATTTTAACTTACTGAGTATCACTCTAAGTTACTCTCACTTACTTGTTTTTAGCCCTGTGCTTTCTAACCCTATGTACTTTGAATATATTTGTTATTATCATTTCATTCCATTTAGTAGTTTCTTGGGCTTAAGTGTTATTTACCTTTCAATTACTCTGGTGTATTCTTTTAGTCTGCCTTTTATCATGAAATCTCTAGGCTCATTTTGTTCATTCCTCCATAGCATTTTAGCTAACTACACTCTGCTCATTCTCAGTGATCCAGCACTCCCCCCGGTTAGCTCCAGATTTATGAGGACAGATACCTACAAAAGAGCAGAGAAAGACATCAAAGACAATAAGCCAGGTCTCCTTGCAGACATGTAATAGAACCACGAGCATAAAACAGTATCAGGTGTTTGCCTAAATGATGGTGCCATGTCAGCAATGGTGCTGATTATTTTGAAAGGGAGGACTCAGTAGGGGCAACTGAAGCCCTCAGAGATTCCGGTCTTCCACTGCTCACACCTCTCACTGCCAGTCATAAGGCCACAATCAGAGGCCATTAGGTTAGAAGGTTCCCTTGTGGGAAGGAAGCCTATATTCCTTTCCCTCTGCCGTGAGGCTGTCGCCTTTACTTAGTTCAGAGGGAGAACAAAATGGGACAGGGACTGTTTCAGCTTTTCTCAAACGTGCCAGACTGGCACTTACAGGATGGAGCGTGGAACAATTTCATCGCCAATCAAAAAACCAAGTTGTCCGTGACATCCTGGGAAAAAAAAAATCGGGTTAATATAAAGATAATAATGACTGTAATAAAAACCACCAGTACCCCAAGTCACCCTGCTGGCCCTCTACTTGGCAGCCTCATGGTTAAGATCCCAGCAGTCTGCCAAGAGGACATCTGAGTTCAAATCCCAGCTCTACCATTTGCTGGCTGTGAGACCTTGGCCAAGTTACTAACATTCCAAGCCTCAGTTTTCTCATCTGTCAAATGGGAATGATACCGTACTTAACCATTTCCCATGATGATTATACCAAAAGCCCATCTATAATAGTAAGTGGCACATGAAAAGTCCACAACAAAGAGTACCAGTCATCATTATCAAAGTGGGGTTTTAAATATTTAATATCTGAGATAGTACAGGCAACAACCAGTCAGCCTGGAAGCTGGCCATAAGAAACTGGTTTGACTCTACAAGGGCATACCAACTATCAGTCCTGATTGTAAGTATTATCACTACCTGCCAGATACTAAAGTAAGCCCTTGGCATGTGCTAATGCATTATCTCATTTAATTTTCCACAGTAAGTTGGCTTTATGTTATTTATTGAAATATATGCAATTGCATATTTTTGGCGGGGGAGGCAGAGGGAGAGAGAATTCTAAGCAGACTCCATGCTCAGCATGTACCCATAAAATCAGGGTTATAGATAAATAGACTTAACACATACATTCCTGTTGCCTTTATCATTCTTGTATATGAATTTCAGGGATCTGCTTTGGCTGGGAGTTTTAAAAAGTCATTTTATAACTTATTTCTTTTACTTACTGATTCATTCAATAATCTTTAGAAGATAATAATGGTCAACAGCCTCAATTTCTTCATCCATTAAATGGGTCTACCTACTGTCCTTTCTTTCTGAATTCTCACTGCTCTACCCCAACCAATCCTGGAAATATCAAAGGTTTCTCAAGCCAAGACCAAGTCACTAGACATTGGACATTAAACAGTTCTGCTAATCCCTGGCCAGCACTTCAGTCAAGATAAGTTCTCAGGTCCTCACATGTCTTGCTCCTGAGCAGATTTCAAATTCAAGTTCAAATGCTATTGGCCCAAAGCCGTTCGCCCAACACTCCCTGCTAATATCCCTGGTGCTCTTCTTTCCTCTCTCTCCCCAAGAGCTGTGCTGCATTGCTGGCCTGCTGGAATGTATTTGACTTTCTGTCACCTACGTGATGATGTTTCCAGTGTTATTAATAAGTGACTGCTTATTAATTAGTATTATTAGACATGCACCGTGCAGTGCAGACAGTACCACAGAGGGGCCTGGCATCTTCAAGAAGAGGATTTGTGCAGAAAGATTTGTCCCTGCAGCCCAGTTAGAGGACACCGGGCTGGCAGTGAGTCCTGGGGAGCCAACAGCAGAAACCCCCAAATTCTCAAAGCTGTGCACCTAATCCAGGCCGCTTGTGTTCTGGCATAGGATGGAAGGAGAGCAAGTGAACGTGAGATTTGCAGACATGTGATGGCATAAGCCCATCGGGGGAGCCTGAGGAGGCTAGGGCCCATGGAGTGGTTCACAAGGCTGCAGGAAAGGCCAGCTCCTGGGAAGGCCAAAAGTCTCCAATTCTCAGATC